GCTTGCTACTGATTACGTTGAATTTGTCTCTGTTTTTATTTCCATTTTAGTATAATTTATTAGACATCATATGTATATTTCTAGGGTCTTACCGAAAAGCTTCTGTCTTAGGTCATTTTGTGCTATGTTTTATTTTTCGCCCCATTCTTCAACTTTTCTTATTAGTTGTATTGTTTTTTTTTTTGAGTTTTGTCTCAATTTGTTGAGTTTCTTAATTTCATATTCTGCTTTTTTTGTTCATTATACATATTATATATGTGTGTGCGCGCGTGCAAAAAGGTAGTTTAACTACTCTCATTTCAGGTTTTAAATTATGTGTTTTTGCCTCAAAGTAGTAGGGGCGTAGGGCCTCCACATTTCTTTTGATTTAGAATAGGTTGTTAACTATTATGAAGACCTCATATATTTTATATCATTTACTCTTTGGTAATTAATTTTGTTAAGTTAGATTTACTAATTGCATGTCCTTTGAATTATTTGACTTTAAGACCCGTTCAAGGAGTTTACAGAATGGATTATAACGGTTTTAGAATGCACAAGACACATACTCTGTAGTATGTAGTAAATGTTTACTTCATCAAATAAAGTTGAGCTAATGAGCACATTTTAATTATTAACTTGATCATGAATGTATTTTGTATTTATCAATTGAGATGTGAATCACATAATCACTGACGTGTTGTCACCTTTGTTCTGGTAGCTACATCATTTATTAGCTTTTTAGATGAAAGGATGGTATAAATATTACTTTCGTACTTTGGAAAGACAAAAATATGACCGTTTTTTTCATTTTCCAAAAATATGATTAACTTAAATAGTAAACCCCAGCTCCCTCGTCTAATTCATTCTCTCGGCAACTTCTCATATTCCCTCGTCGTCTCTCTGCCACGTTCAGATATGGTGCGGCCGCCCCTTCTCCTCCCCCGCCACATCTTGCTCTGAACACACCGTTGTGCTACCTTGCTGCCGTGCGCCCCTTTGGCGGCTCTCCGGCTTCCTTTTCCTCCACTGTTTGTCCTCTGCTTCAGCGTAGAAGGAATTGATGAAATCCCTGGAGATTAAACCATAGGTGCAGCAGTGGTGAACGGGAGAAGAAGGGGATGTTTCTGTCGTTGCAATCATCGAGAATCACATCACTTCTTCATCCCATTGTTTTTTGAAATTAGGTTTTAGATATTAGATTTGTTATTTGTTTCCGCCACTGCAATCATCGGGAATCACATCATTTCTTCATCCCATTGATATGTGAAAACAGGTTTTAGAAATTAGATTTGAATTTAAAAAAGAATTGAGAATCACATCTTGTTTTTTTAAGGCTTCGCATCTTGCTGTTCTTGCTGGAAAATGGTTGGGTTTTTGGTACTGTTTCCGAGACAGGGTGGCCTTGGTGAGGTAGCTGATTTACTTACTGGGGCAGCTATGGTGGTTAGGGAGGCAAGGGTTGTGATGGTTTTGGGGTGGCGGCTGGACGACATGTCACTGTGGCCAAAATCAGGGAGTCACTGTCATGGTATCACTCATGGCAGTGTCACTACGACGGTGTCACCGACAGTGGTGTCATTGTTGTGAAAAGTCCGATGGCAATGACACCACTTAATGACATGAAAACCCGATAGTGACATTTAAAAGTGACGTAAAAATTTGATAGTGTCATAAAATTTTGGGAGTGACACAATGTTATTCAAATATATGACTTTCTTAGTCACATTTTTGTCCCTTTATAAAAATGATCACATTTTTTGAAATTGACTTTAATTTGGTAATATTCGAGGAAAAAGCCCCTTTTAGATATACAGTGATGCAGTTTTTATTAAGGAGTATTTATAGTTGAATTTTTTAAAATTCATTTTAGTCTATTGGTGCATGGCACTAATGACTCAAGTAACCTTCTCATGGTCTATTCGTTTTTCAGTGTTATGTCTGGTTCTTAGTTGCTGCTTATTCCTTTTAGGAATCTTTTTTAATACATGTCTCATTTCATTATGTTTTACATTTCTTTTTTATCTCATCTTTCTTAGTTATTACAGCTTTTTCCTACTTTTTGTTTTTTCTTTTCGTCTTCTTTCTCAACAAATAGAGTAATAGGTAAAATATGTTTTTTTTTCATATTGCCATAATAGATATGTATGTTTGTTGTAGATCAAGTGGTAACAGAAAATGATTAATCATTAGTTACTTAATTTGCAAAATAAATATGAATAGATAGAAATAGGAGCAGAATAGTCGTAGTGAGTGTGCCAATAACTAATTTATGTCATCTTATAATACTTCTAAAAGCACAAATATAGTGGGCAAGAAGCTGAAATTTTAGTTTCAAAAGAAGATACCAGTGGAGATGAGAAAATTAGGAGTTGCATTCTTGCTTTTCTTGCATAGATAATTGATTTCGAATTAGATAAAACATCCATTTATTGATTTGAAATGGAGGGAGGTTGATTTGTTTTGAAATCTTTTAGTATGTCTCTTGGAGGTCATTCAATGACAAGACCATCAATGAGGTTGCTACTGGTCCACGTGGAAAAAAACTTTTTGAAGAGGAACATTCTTGTAATGATGAGACAATTCCTTTAAAACATTATTGGAAACATGGTCTAATCTCAAATGTCATGTTAAAGAAGAACATTCAGACTGAACATGGTCATATGTTTGATTTTTTTTAAATAAGACTAAATATTAGATTTCTATCTCTATTTAATTAATTAATATAATTATTTGTCTCTAGTTCCCTTGCATAATCAAAGTTATTTTGTTGATGGCGGATCAGTCTTATGATGATGTCGACGAACTCTGGTGACGGAGGCCGACAAACATATTTGTAGCCCCGATCTAGGTGAAAATTCTGACGATCGAAAGTGGCGATCCGGATTTAAAAGACTATGAACTTTGTAAAAATCTATAAAATTATCAATGAATTTAAAAGTCAATAAAATCAATTCAGAAAAAAATACGGATTTAAAAGTCCATTAACTTATTTAAATCTATTGATTAAAAAGGGAATTTTATCAATCCGGGACCTCAAAGATAGACAAACTATCAATTCGGGACCTGAAAGATGAAATGTATCGGTATATGACCCGAATGATGGAAAACTATCAATCTACGACCCGAATTTTATTATTATTTTTATTTTAAAAATTTTAAATAATATTTAGTTTTATTAAACCAATAAACTTTTGTGAAGAAAATTTCACCAAATATTAGCAATGGAATTAATAAAAAATTAAATAAATCAAAACCTATGAAATGTTAGGTCCTATATTGATAGTTTTTCATCTTCCGAGTCCGAATTGATAATTCATCTATTTACACCACGATAATTCACCAAATACATTTAATCTTTCAGGTCCCGAATTGATAATTATCTGTCTTTAACACAGATGAATTGATAATTCATCTATTTACACCACGATAATTCACCGTAAGTTATACCGTACACCCGGGTGTATGTATACACCCAGATATTTTTGTAATTATATATAATATGAATGGCAATAGTCTTGGCTGTGTATTAATCTTCCGTGCCTGGTGCGTGCATGTCTGCTTTCTTTATAAACTTTTCTCCTCCATTCTTTTTGCATCTACGTTTCTTCCCTGGGTATTCTTTTTTTTCTTAACAATTTTTTCACATTAGTTTTAATTTATAAATATGTGCAATATAGAATGTGGAACTTAACGTCCCTGTTTGCTTTTCTTTTTCTTTTTCTAATTAACCTTCCTTTATAGCTACTTAAGTATTTCTTTAAATAGTTCATTATAAAAATCTTTTAGGTATCAATTTTTTTCCTATTTTAATTTGGAGATGAATATTTGTTAATTTAATAATTTGTGTGTGTTAATTATTTGAACATTGTGTGCTCATTATTAACATGAGTTTTGTGTTATACTGAATTGAGCATAGTGTAAAAAATAAATGTGCATGAGTAAACATTATAAAAAGATTATGATTAATTTTGTAATTCAAGAATGACAAATTATAAACTATTTTGAATCTAGAATTCATTATATTTCTCATTGTTACACAAATGAATGTTTAAGCACATTACAATTTTTTAATGATTTTTTTAATTATTGAATGCTCATTTTATAATTTATGTATAGTCATTCAGGACTGTTGTTATATATGCACGTTTTAAAGTGTCCTATCAATGCTTATGAAACTAACGCTCAATAGAAGGTATCATGCATTAAAAGTGCATTAATGCTCATTTGACAGAAATCATTATTTTCATCACAATAGAGGAGGTTTGATATTCAACTAAAATATCGTAATGTTCAACTAACAAACCAACTAACAAATTCATTAATGCTCATTTTGTAAGTTACGTATGCTCATCCGGTAGTGTTCTTATGCTCACATACATAATGAATTCTAGATATATATATATATATATATATATATATAGATATATATATATATATATATATATATTAGACTCCTAATACTCAACATAATAGGTCTGATGCTCATTAAAAGTTCATTAATGCTCATTCACAAAAAAAATATGATTTTCATCTCAATATCGGAGGTTTGATGCTCAATTAAAATGTTGTGATGTTTAACTAACAAAACCTTACGATTTTCATATCAATGTGCACTTTGTAAGTTATGTATGCTCATTTGGTACTGATGTTATGTTCACTTTTACAATGTCATATCAATGCATATTTCAAAAGTATCATATTATACTAAATTCACATATTGAAATTCATAAGAGTGTATTATAGATATAATTTAATAAGTTTTTATAAAATAAAAAATTAGTAAAAGAACAAAAATTAGAAGATATGAAGTTGATATCGTGTTACTCATTGTTAGCCTCGTAATACTCAATAAAATAGATTGGATGCTCACTAAATGTACAATATTGCTCATTTAGCGGAAGCCGTAAATTTTCTCTTAAATTACAATATTGTCACCGAATTTTTTTTGACCTGTATTAGTGATTGACCTAATATGTTTATTAGGTGAATTATATACGAACCCATAATTCACCTAATACATTTAATGTTCCTTAATTATCGCAAGTCCACCACGATCGATCCATATTCAATATTTCAATATACAAAACAGACCGCAGCGCATGACTCCACAGACCGCCACTGCACCCCGCTCGCTGCTTGCATCGCCGGACGTCGCAGGCCCGCTCCGCCGCTCGTAGCTCGCCCGCTCCGCCGCTCCGCCGCTCGTAGCTCGCCCGCTCCGCCGCTCGTAGCTCGCCCGCTCCGCCGCGCGCATTGCCGTAGGTCGCACACCCTGACGCCCCCCTTCTGCAACTCTGCCGCTCCTTCTGCAACTCTGCCGCTCCTGCTCGCTTCTTTTCTCGATTCAGGTTAGTTCCTCTATTTTTTGTACAATTTATATTTTAATTTAAGTATTTTATTTGTTATTTTAGTTTGTGTTAGTGATTTAGTGTGTCATATAATTCGTTTGTGTAATTGTGTGCTTTGATTTGTGAAATAGAAAATTAGGAATGCCAAATGTGATTTCTGAATTTTTTAAAATATTACTCTTAATAATTTAATATGAATTATGTGAATTAAAATAAAATATTGATTATTTTTTTTTTGCTAATTTTAGTAGAGTATGGCTACTCAATCTACTTCCAAAAAGGCAAAAGGACACTGCTTTATAAGCCTAGTACAAGCACACAAAATAGACGAGAGTTAAATGTCTCAATTGAAACTCCAAATATCTCACCCGCTTAAGAGGAAGTAGTTTCTGATGCGCTTGTAATTGAGCGGGATCCAGAAAAACGGAAAAACGGAAAAAGATAAGTGATTGGGCGTTAGAAAAAATAGATGAAATTAGACGATCTTATTTGATGGTTGGACCTTATCAACCAAAACTGAACTTTTACAAAGGCTGAGAATACAAAGATAAGATACATCGTTTTCAATCCACTTGGTTCAATGAATTTGATTGGTTCGTATACTCTCCAACAACACATAAGTCATATTGTTTGACCATCTTTATTGAAAAGGAATTTGCCAACAAAATCGACGTTGAGTCTGTCATAGATGAGTTTGCTAAGGTCAAAGAACGTCATGTTTAATTAACGTTTTAGCTTCAAATATTGTATGTACTGTTTACAAATATTATTATGAATTTTAATGGATTTTAATCATTATGTTCACACTACTTATGCTTTTAAAATTTTTATAATAGTGTTTTTAGTTTATAGTCCTGGCTACGCCCCTGCTTAAAATCATTCATATAGATACACATACATATCGTTGAGATTTAGACTTCTTTAGAGTAATTTTTTGAAGTGTTTTGGGCCTTTGTGTTGTTTGGTAAGACCCACTTAGCCTTGCTGTCATAGTTTTTGAAAGACTCGAAATTTGTGTTATTGTCCTCGTTGAACCTTCTTTATATCATGGAGGTAAGGGTCCGTTTGGTACTCGAAATTGCATAAAAGGGGTCAAATAAGTCCTTATAACGTCTTTACTGTCCGACCGTCGCCATTTGGGGCAGTAACCGGTGGAATTTTTTGATGAAATTTTTTGAGCATCTTATTCATTAAGTTTAGTTTACTCATACCAAATTTCAGCCAAAACTTAAATCGGGAAGGCATTCAAATGAAGTCTTGAAGATAACTGCCCTTTTAACTGCGCAGTTATCTTCAAGACTTCATTTGAATGCCTTCCCGATTTAAATTTTATCTGAAATTTGGTATGAGTAAACTAGACTTAATGAATAAGATGCTCAAAAAATTTGATCAAAAAACTCCCCTGAGAACCGCCCCAAATGACGACTCTCGGACAGTAAGGACGTTATAAGTACTTATTTGACCCCTTTTATGCAATTTCGAGGACCAAACTGACACTTACCTCTTATATCATGGTATTTTGTTTCTCGAATTACTTCAGACACACACACACATGCATTATGAATTATACAAGTGTATATATCTATGCGCTATTTGTATGTAGCTTATTTGTGAATTCTTATTCATTTACTTGTAAATATATACCTGTTTGTTCTTACCTTATAATCCATAAACTAAAGGCAAATTTTGAATTGAAAATCAACGCTTGGGAATCTAATACAATAGCTTTTATGTTTTTACTTTTGCTATTTTACATCAACAATCTTGAAGCTTGTAAGAACAAACATAAAGGCATTTTCTTTTTGAGTAGCAATGCACAATTTGTAGATTTCATAGTTTTTTTACTCCAAGGGTTCTTTGGTTTTTTCATGATTAACACTGTACAATCTGTAGATTTCATTTTTTAATCCAAGGGTTCTTTGGTGGTGCTCATTTGGCAAAACTTTACTTTAAGTGGAATTTACTGCGTTTTTGTGCCTTGGCATTTATGGTGATGTGATATCATAGCTTAGCACATAGCTCAAGAAGCAGCTGCGTGATATCACACAGAACGGGGCCTTCTTGTTTTTTCACTATTATTCATGTTTATGTGGTTTTTTCACTAGGATAAGGAGTATTTAATCATATGGAGCTCTAAGGCGGGAACACTGTAGGAAATTTATTTTCACTGCGTGATGTTCTTCCGTTTCAAGTGTTTGTATCTTGTTAGAAAGATCTTATCAAGTTCTAAAACTCGTATTCAGACTTTATTTACAAAATATTAAAGGATTGATATGTGCTTTCTTTTCGAGCGTTTTATATCTTGTTGGAAAGAGCATAGCGAGTTCTAAAACTCATATTTAGACTTCATTTACAAAATATTAAAGGATATGTGGCTGTGTTATCCTTGGAATTAAGGTTATTTGGTTATTTTTTTAAAAAATAACCTCCTATTCTAGGTCATATTCTATAGATTAATAGATTATAGATTATAAAGAGTTACTCTTTTCTAAAGTTGGTTTTCTTGTTTTATTTACTTTCTTTCATTTCTCCCCCATGTCTCAAATAGACACACTATTTTATTGCTTCAGGTTTCATTTTGACAAAGAGGATCATGAATATCACAACACTATTCAGGAGGTTAAATCTCGGAGATTTGGTATCTAGTCCGTCTCTCTACAGTTGCGGCAGGGGTATGAATCTCTCATGATGACTTACTATCCTTCAGTTGAAGGGAGAATTTTTTTAGTCGGTAATAATATTTCCATGGAGCAGTAATTTCTTTTTGATGACTTAGATGCATCCGGAGAGGGACTGAGCTTAGTACTAAGGCGTTGGGCTACCAAAAAGACAGCAGGGTCCACAAAAAATGGGCGTGACTCAAAACCTAAGAATCTCGGGGTGAAGAAATTTGGTGGAGAGGTGAGAATTTCATTACGGAAAAGAATGGAGATTGATTAGATTGGCAAGAATGTTAGGGTTGGAACAGTTCAGATGCAAGCCCTTTTTAAGATTTCACTTGACAATTCTAAAAATTTGGATCAGCTCCAAATAACAACAAATCAAACCCGCTGATTTTATTAAACCCTTTTTAGGTTGAGTCTTGGGTTTATCAAAATATGTCGAGCTCAAAACCTGAACCTTTTAACGCATTATATAATTTAATAATAACTTATTTAAAACAGTGGTTCATCATATATATTTTTTTGTGACTTTTGTATCAATTCACAACTCCACTCATTGATGTATGCATAAAATTATTATGCATACATAAAATTATTTTATGTTTTAATATTATCATTTTAAATTATTTATTCAAAGCTTACTATGTATTTTACTGAACTTTCATCATTTTTTTTACAATGATGAAACTTATTGAATTTTGAAAATTTGGATTTTGATAACACTGAACCTGAAATGCCCCAAAGTTTTTGGGTTGGTTTTCAGGTCTTAAATTTTGGTACACCATACCCCTGCCAGAAGATGTGTTTTGGTTACTTAACTGCTATATGTGTTGCAGAGGGTGATTCCAGGGAATATTATTGTTCGCCAAAGAGGAACCAGATTCCATCCGGGGGATTATGTGGGGATTGGCAAAGACCACACATTGTTTGCATTGAAAGAAGGGTGTGTCAAGTTCGAGCGAAACAAGCTGACTGGACGCAAGTGGGTCCACGTGTTGCCCAAAGAAGGCCATGTACTTCACCCTGTATACTCATCCACGGCTTCACCTCCCGAGCTGAAGACAGCTACTTAAGGTTATAGTTTCCTAATATTCTAGTCACATGCTTCCATTTATGTGAATGCGTGGAGTGCCAGTCCATCATGTTTGAATTCTTGTTCCATCTTTTGCAGTTTGTCTTTCAATGAGATGTTTTTCCCTTTGACTGCTGTATTTTGTAATTGTGATTGGAGCAGCAATGCAGGGCTGATTTGAATTCTACTGAATAATGATAGATATGCACAGAAGGATCAAGTAGTTATGTGTCCTGTTTAGTTACATGCTATGCAAACTTAGGATGTTTTTACTTGGACTGTAATTTGTTGGTCTGGTCTGGTCTGATTTCTTTGTATTTTTATAACTATCCAAGTCTGGTCTGAACTGGTCTGGTCTGGGAGGAATTATAGTCCAAGTAAAAACATCCTTAAATAGCAATTGGATGGATTACATGTTAAAGTAGCCACTTTTATTATGGAAATAAGCTTCAATTTAGTCATATTTTAGGAAACTCCCTTATATTATAGCAGTTGGTTGTTAGTCGTTATGAGGCATGGACTCGGCTCGGTCCAATCCTGGTTTTGGGCCGAGACCGCCCAGTCTCTGCCATTTATATGGGAAGCCCGAACCCAATCGGTATAATTCCGGTTCTGGGCCAGTTCCGGGTAGCCGGACGGTCTGGTCCCGATTCGGACTTGGTTTTAGGACCGGATTCCATGGCTAGTTGTTACATTTTCAATTCAAAATTAAAATAGAATATCGCCGTTGGGGGTGGAATTTAATCCATTTGTGACATTCCAACATAATGAACAAATGTTTACATTTGTAATATACGGAATACATTTTAAAGAAGAATTATTATGAATTGGACCCGGTCGGCAGAATAAAATCGCTCTAGAATTAGAATAATCTGGGTCTGGGATCGAGTTAGTTCTTGTTAAAATTTGATAGAATTGCAACAAAAATTGTAGATGTTAAACTTGGTTCGGTTCTAATGAAAAATGTAGTTGTTAAATTTGGTTCGGTTTTAGTTAAATTCTATTCAATTTTTTTTGGATTCCTTAAAAAAATACAAGTATTATCTTGCTAAAATGAACACATTTTACCTAGTGGTGGACTCAGTTCGGGTCGGGCCCGGTTCGGACCTAGAACCGGCCGGGCCTCAGTTCTAGGATGGCAGGCCCGGAACCGGTCCGGATAACCCCGGGTCCGGTTCGGTTCGGGTCACCCGCCCGGTTCACGGGCCGGGCCGGGCCTATTTAATTTTTTTTTAAATATTATATAATTAGAATAATTCTTATTACAATTACAATATATTATATTCGAATTGAAGTATATTTATTTCAAATAAGAAGTACAATTGAGAATTAGGATGAATTTAAAAAATGTAATACATTTTGTAATAAAAAATCAATCGGACTCTCCGCCTTCGGTTGTTTCCTCCATAAAGTGGCGGGAGGGAGTGATGGTAATTTCTTGAGTTCTTCGTTGGGCCTTCAACCAATCGTGAAAGCAAACTAGTGTCTCAAGAGAGCTCGGGCTCAACCTCGTTCTATAATCGGTTAGGACGTTGCCGGCCGCACTGAATTCTTGTTCCACGGCAACGGTTGATATCAGCATTGCTAGTACTTGCTTAGCCATCTTTGATAAAATCGGGAATGTTCTTTCATTTTCCTTCCACCACTTAAGAACGTCAAAGTCATCACCAACTTCATAATCAACATTCAATGTTAGATATAAAGAAAGCTCGTTACCTGAGCTTTGTTCAGTAGCGGGAGTTGCTCTACTTTTTTTCAAAAGAGAACCAAAAGCGGATTTTAAAAGTGATTTTCCTTTAGATGAAGAAGATGTTCGTTGCATGGGAGGGGGTGCATTACCATATTGTGCATGAAATTCATTATACAATTGATGAAATAAATTACTAACCTCGTTGAATTCTTGTTTAGGGTCGATGGGATTATCATCGAACTCTTGAGTTGGAAAAAAATAAGCATAATAGTAATCTATACAATTTGCCAAGTAAGGAAGTTTATAACGAGGATCAAGAACAAATGCAATACCATATATATGCGGAATATGTGAATAATATTTTAAAAACTTTTGTTTCATGAAATCACAAAAATAACTAACGTAAGTGGCGTCGGAAAATTCACAAAAAGCGCCGGCGAGATTAACAACTTCAACAAAAAATTCGTTTGCGGTAGGTTTATAAACATGACTAAAAGTTAGAGTTGCGTTATTAAAATATGCCAAAACATTAACAATTTTTTCACAAGTGTCGATGTCAACCGGGTTTATAATATAGTTACAAGTTTGTCTTAAAAAAGCTGGAAAATGATCTTTATATCTAACAAGTACTTGAATTAAATTATAAGTACTATTCCAACGAATAGACAAATCTTTAGGAAAAGCACAATAATTCACACGTCTATCCTTCAAATATTGCCGCCATTGCATTTTTAGTGGAGTGTTAGCCCAAATCAATTTAATTCCCCCCTTCACTACCTCCAAAGCATTTCCTAATGCCGCTAAGCCATCTTGTACACACAAATTTAGAATATGACATGCAAAACGTTGATGAAACAATCTACCCATCAATGTAGAAGCACCACACAATTCACGTAATCTAGGTATAGCAGCAGTATTATTACTAGCATTATCAAAACCTACAGCAAACATCTTATCAAATAAATTATACTCAATTAAAATACGTTCAATGAGAATATAAATATTATCAGCAGTGTGACGATCATTGAATTCACGAAAAGCAAGAACACGTTTATGCATATTCCAATCATCATCAATATAATGTGCAGTTAGACCCAAATAATATAAATGATGATAAGTATCCTCCCATATATCGCTACAAATACTAACACGTCCATCAAAGTTTGCGAAAAATATTTGTAATGATTCCCCTTTCCTTTGTCTATTTTCTTTGTCTATTTTCGCATACTCCACAAAGTGGGCGGACTGAAGATGTCTTTTGAGACTCCCGTATCCGCCAGAAGTTCCCAAGCTAAACTCTTTCTTGCAATGATTGCAACTTGCGTACCATTTTTCGGTTTTTTCGTCTTTCCTTTTTGTATAATTGTTTTCAATAATAGGAGATTTAGATTTCTTACCAATTTGGGTTGTAGTCGTTGAAGGGCCCTCGTCCTCTTGCTCATCATCCGGAGTCCCGTCGCCCCCCGCGTCCTCCTCCCCATCGTCATCCTCGAGCTCCTCTTCATCGATGGTTGTCGGGAATTGTTGTTCTTGTGCAAAACGTGGATCATTTTGGGACAATAGGTGTTGTAGTTCCTAACTCCCCACCCCCACCCCCACCCCACCCCCCCTAACCCCCCAGACCCCCCCTCCTATGCTCCCAACGGCTATAGAGCCGTTTGGGAGGTCTCCCAACGGCTAGTAGATCCTTCAAATATTTAATTTTTTTTTTTGTGACCGTTGAGGCCCGGACCGGGCCCGGACCGGCCGGGCCGGTTCACCAAAATATCAGCCCGGGCCCGAACCGCTACATGACCGGGCCGGGTGGCCCGAACCGTGACCTAACCGACAAACCGGGCCGGTGCGGGCCCGCACAGTAGCGGGCCGGTCCGGTTCCGGGCCGGTTGGCCCGGCCCGAGTCCACTCCTAATTTTACCTCGACTTAGATAAAAATATTCAAATTTCAAATCATGAAAATAATCGTCAAAGTTATGACCATTACATTATAGTATTATATATACATGATATCCCAATGTGCAAATATTACAAAAATATCCAAGTGCAAACATTAAATTTAAACATAACAAAAAAACATCAAGGTTTAAAATAGGTATCAACTGTCTAGCAAAAATGTTTAATTGTTCCAAGATACACAGCCAATAGCAGTAGATCAACCTCAAAATCATATTCTTATATTAGTATTACATCATAAGTAAAAAGTATTGTAGTTAGTAACAAACTGACCGATAATATTAATAATTTACTATAAACAAATAACAACGAATCAATAACAACATTAATTCATTTTAGAGGTGGACTCAAATAACATACTCCCTCCGTCTCGCAAAGAAGTTCCTGCTTTCTTTTTTAGCAGTCCCAAAAAGTTCCCCTTTCGTTAAATGGGAAGTTACCTACATCAAAACAGTGTCAAACAGTGCAAAACAGTGTCAAACAGTGTCGAAACAGTGTCAAAACAGTAAAATTTACCCCTGGTAAGTTTATTTCCTTAACATGTGTGTAGATCAAATCGTGAACTTCTTTGCGGGACGGAGGGAGTATATAATTACAAACAAACAATAATATAAAAGTGGACTAAAGTACTAAAATAACCACTATTCAGATTGGACTGGTCCACAATATAAAAGATATATTATGCAAGACAAATAATTTAAGGTTCCAAGTTTTAAGGTTCCAAGTCCCAGACCTAGAATAATTTGTGTCGGTCTCTGCCTCTCGGGTCCACCTCCCTTAGGATCAGCCGGTCCGGGGTGTGAATTGGTTTGGAATTGAACCATGTCCACCTAGGCATGGACCCAATCCGCGAAATGTGAATCCCAGAACAGAACCATTTTATTTCGAGTCCAAACTGGTTCTTCATCTTCCTCAATTAGCAGCTCCTTGAAATGTTCTTCCCATCAATCCATGAATTTGATTAGGAATCAAAAAGAGTGTGTCAGAATCATCGACTTGATCAATCACCGAAAAAGACGTACACATAACACATTCAACTCATTCAGGGGCGGATCCTTGTGTGGGCAGGGGTGGGCTCCAGCCCAGCCCAATTTTTATTTTTTAATTAGTATATGCATAAATTTAATGTCCAGCCCATCCCAAAATTAACTCCTAGCCCACCCCAAAATTAATTCCCAGTCTAATCCAATCATATTATCAACTATTCCACTTAACTACTTCAAGCAAACCTGCGCCCAGAAGTTCGGAGCTGCGACGGAGCCGCGAAGCACGAAGGTGAAAGAGGGAGTAGCGGAGCTGCGACGGAGACACCAAAGACGAACACCATTCGACTTTGGTCAACTGCTGAGCCGCCGCCCGCCGTCCAGGGCCCTGTGTCGGCCATCTTCCCTCTCCGACTCTGCCCTTTGTGGCTCTGCCTCTATCTCCATGTATACTCTAAATTCAAATACTCTTTTACACTATTTTTCTTGATTAAACTTGTATTATTTGTTAAACATTGCATTATTTGTTAAACATTGTATTATTTTGTGAAACATTGTTAATCTATTTGAATATTTGATGAATCGAGGACCTGGAGTGATTG